TTATGTAATCTGAAAAATTGGGTAACTTGTTTTCAGTTTTCTCGAAATGAGGAATTTGGCGTTTGACGGGTTTCTGAAATAGACTGTTCAATTGCTGGCCGTGGCGATCGTCGGATTCCTGAGTGTGGGTTTGGTTCGTACTTGTGCCGCAAGGCGGTTCTTTCGCTGGCTGAAACGTTTCAGCCCCGAGCGCCGAAAGCTCAAGTGTCTTGCGCTGGCTTGTGGTCGCAGTTTAGAGCAATGGCCCTGAAAGCTTCGCTTCGCCTCACGGAATAGGCGAATGGAATTCGCTTCTTGAAATAGGTCATGCTGAATTCTCGGCTATCAGGGAGACGCCGCGTCGGTGGCTGGGGTGCCGACGTTTCGCCTGACATGTCGCTGGCTTCCTCAGGGCAGTGAAGCCTGCGACATGTCAGGCGAAACGTCGGAACCCCACCCAACGACGCGGCGTCTCCCGGATAGCCGAGAATTCATGGATTCGAGCCGCGGAAGCTTACGTATACAATAGGTCATGCTGCGTAGCAAGACCGCGAAAGCAATATTTATGAGGAGACTTTGAATGTATTATGCAGCTATATTAACTACATCATGAATGCACTGAATATGTTTGCAAATATAATTAATTAATCAATTTTACGCAAATTTCTTATCAAAATTGGAACAAGAAGAATGTCTTTAATTCTTTCCGAATCAATATTGCATCTCTTTTTCAAAATAAGTTTTATTAATATTAAGTTTTAAATTGGTTGTTAAATATTTATTTAAATGTTGTTCAGTCCCTTTTTTAAATTTTGGACAACCACAATAGACGCGTCCAAAAACTTGTACATAATACTTTTATTTATTTGTGTACACGACGTTTCGGAGACTGATCTCTCTCCCTCAACAAGTACAACTGAAAATTTAATTATTTTAACTTTTTTCCTAATTTGCATTGCTCAAGTAGATGTTTCAACTTCGCGGAATCCTTAATATTGCTTTTTATAATTGAAATCGTGAAAGCAGAAACACAGTCACCGAGACTGACACGCCCAGTTGTCTCGACCGATCGTTTTTCTTTCGTGACCGCGAACAAAAATCTCTCGTATCGAGCTGCCATCTAGCGGTTCTTGTGTTAACTCCCGCGGCGCTCGGGTGAAATCGTCTGCGGAAGGTTCAGAATGTTCCACTTTGCAATTTGTGTGTCGTGACGTCAAAAGACTCAATGATAGTTTATTTCTTGTCTCCGAGCGCGTAAAAAATAGATCCATAAGTGTAGTGCATGTTACATTCCCGGTGGTGTTCTTTCCCCTGGAACGTGATATCCAGCGCTGACCTACACGACGACTTGCTGGGGATGTCCCCACATAGCTACACTATGTGATAAAAACCATCCGGACACGTGGCTGAAAATGACTTCTCAGTTCGTGACGCCCTCCATCGGTAATGCTGGAATTTAATTGGGTTTTGACCCACCCTCAGCCTTGATGATAGCTTCCACTCTTGGAGGTATACTTCCAATCAGGTTCTGGAAGGTTTCTTGGAGAATGGCAGCTCATTCTTCACGGAGTGCTGCACCGAGGAGAGGTATCGATGGAGGCCTGGCACGAAGTCAGCGTACCAAAGCATCCCAAAGGTGTTCGATAGGATTCAAGTCAGAACCCTGAACAAGCCAGTCCATTACAGGGATGTTATTGTCGGGTAACCACTTCGCCACAGGCCGTGCAGTATGAACAGGTGTTCGATCGTGTTAAATTCCAGTGCCATTTCCGAATTGCTCTTCAACAGCGAGAAGCAAGAAGGTGTTTAAAACATCAACGTAGAACTGTGCCGTGATTGTGCCACACAAAACAACAAGGGGTGCAAGCCCCTTCCATGAAAAACACGACCACACCACAGCACCACTTTGGACGTATCCGGATACTTTTGATCACATAGTGTATTTTCCGCTAGCCTGACACAGCCCCAGCAGGGGTAAGCTCTAAGCTCGCAACTGGTCTCTTGGCGTGTGTTGTAGTGGAGAGCATGTGAGTGTAAATGTATAGGTAGGGGGCTAGGATAGAACGCGGAAAGGAAAGGTCGCGCGCGGTTCATGGCCCATTTGCTAGGGTACTGTTCCGGCATTCACCTGGTGTTGATCGAAAAAAAGCACGGAAAACTACCGATCAGAGCAATCGGGCACTAGAATTCTCCTCCAGACAGCGGCTGAATTCGATCTCTGTCAAAAAGGATCGCGAACACTAGGTTCCCCCGGTCAGAGTCCGTACAGTGGCAACACTTGGTTCCCTGAGCCATCTCAGCCAATATATGGAGACTGTTATATCTTGCATGTCATAATACGGCTCTTGATAGTTATGTTGTGGTACGCTTCGATTTGATCAGATTCATTGTGCAGATTCGTATTCTGTGGCAGGTATGCGTGGTATCTAGCTTACATGTGTCGACAAATTTTCGAGTCATTCAAACTTTTCCAAACGCACGTAACGTCTTCTTCTACTTTGATTGGACATGTCATCCAAGCTAGCGCGAATAATGTACGGTGTGCGTGGTTGGAGTTTAAGTATGTTAAGGGTCCAACCTTTCTCATCTGGTTTCATCTTGTGAACCTTGTTTTCGCGCGTTCATGCTGCCCTGCGTTTTGCACGCAATCCATTGCAAAATATTAGCCTTCTATAGTAAGGCAGTTGCAAATTTTCTTTCTAGTTCAAGGCCTTACTGATTTTTGGTAGAGGATCACAGCCTCTTTCGTTTTAAGATTTTAAAGTCTGCAAAATGTTAATTAACATGATTTTAATTAAGATTATTTTAAAAAAATAATAATATTTTGACAATTAAATAAGAAACGGGCCATTTATTTACAACAAAATATTGTTTTCGAAATATATCCTAAGAATAAACTTATTTCTGTAGGAAGGGGCGGATATGGTTCTTTGAAAAGTAGTTATGCTGCCACTGCTCCGATTAAGAATCGTATTGAGTTCGACAGTTACTCGTTCCAAAACTATGCTCTTCCATTTACGATTTTTCGTTATCCTTCCTTTACTGTAGTATAGGGAGGAAAATTATTGGAATCAACTCAACAAGACGATCTCAAATGTCCGGGCGTAAAATCGGCATTTTATCTTCTTTTGAGATGTTACCAAACACTATAAAAACAATACATGACATGGCGATATTACGGGAATTATTTGAAGCTATCGACCCTAGTGGCCTGACCGATCACAACCATTGTGATATCAAGTATGAAGTGTATAAGTTTGAAAGATTTTTAGTTTACTTACGTTTCGCAGTGTGATTCGAAAGTTATTGCACATGTATTGAAATTTGAATTAATCTCCAATTATTCGGGCTCGTGGCTAGCTCCTAATCAGAGTGCTCGCTTTTCACTACGCGGCCCCGGGTTCGATTCCCGGATAGGAAGATTATAGTGTGCGTGTTGCTGTGTAACGATGAGAAAATTCACTTCCCAGGTTGAGAAGACCGGAATACGGCGTGGGGATGTCTACGTACTAACCACACGTATACCCCTTCACATGGCCGTGAGGCAGGGACGTCGCCGGTAGGCCTGAGGCCGTTCACGGGCTTTCGCGCCAAGTACATACATACACCAATTATCCAGGTCACATCACTGGGTTCGCTAGTGAGCAGTTATCTCCCACGCAGTGTGGCAGAGATTCAAAGTGTCCTGCATTGTCTTTACAGTATTTGATGAAACTCTGTTCTAAAGATTGTTAAGATTGGTGCAGGGAAAGAGGAGACACATGCAATTTTGTACTCGAAAATCGGGAAGTCTGTCTCTTTGGATATGTCATGCATCAATCATGCTAAAATTAAAGGCTTTTGCGCTAAAACGTGGTGATGACAGCGCTTGATAAGGTCTAGTTGCGCTCTGAAAATGCGTCTATTAAAAATGTTAGGGTGCTTTACATGACGTTCATGTGAAATTTTCAAAATTCTCTAGATTTGGACGACTTTTTTCTTGAAATATTTTACTTGAATAGAAGAAAATGCGTTTATAATTACGGTATGGTTCTGATTTTTATTAAAACCTTAGACATATCGAAAATTGCAAATCTTTATATTTAAAACACTAAAGATTTTCGTTTAGAAAGTTGTTTTGTATTCAACCAAATTTCGTGGTTTTATTTCTTTCAATGAAATATCGTGGGCCCCAGATGTGTTTTCACTAGCTCTTCTTAAGATTTTTTTAGGAATTTTAAATATATTTTACTACTTGAAATTAATAGAATGAACGCGTATTTGAGGCCATTTATTATTATTTCATTGTGTATAATCAATCATTGAAATAATTCGTAATTTCATCTTCGAGGAAAAAACCCTGAGTGTGAAATAATTGTCACGCAAGTGTAATATCAAGTTTCTAAGTTGAAGCAATGTTTTTAAATATGTAAAAAATTAGTGAGTGCATCTAAACGCAAATTTCAGAAATTGTCTGACATTTTCAATTCTCACAAAACATTCAGTGATTATAATTATATGTGGTGCATTACTTTGTTAAGTTGTGAACACCAAGATTTCTTTGTCAAAGTGCCCTATAAAATGAAAGTAAATATATAACACTTCAGATTATATTTCAGCAAACTTATTCAACTTTTTGTTCACAATGTGTTGTTCCAGAGTTTAAACGAGACTCGTCAGACCAGGCAACGTTTTGCCAGTCACTCAACAGTCGGTGATCAGGCGAGGCGTAAAGATTTTTTGTCGGCAGTCATCAAGAGTACACGAGTGGTTCTTCGGCTCCGAACCCCATATCCATGTCTCGTTGAATGACTCGCACGCTGACACTTGTTGATGGCCTAGCATTGAATATGTCATAGCAATTTGGAAAGGTTGCACTTCTGTCACGTGTAATGATTATGCTCAGTCTTCTACGGTCCTGTTCTTGCACATCTTTTACGTCCTCAGAGATGCCGGAGTTTAGTTTTCACACGTCCACTCGTAAGAATCGCGTCGCTCACAAAATTTTTAGGTTTTAAGGCCGTAAAACACTTTGTTTAGGAGTTATTTAACGATATACATTCAAAAATCCTAAGAAGTGTTGCGGATTGCATTTGGCTCTCTTTATTTAGAGACATTATTTATCAAGGTCGGTTGCGCGTGAGACCCGCAAAAAGTGTGTATACTACTGAAATAATACAGGAGACGATTCAAACATTACTTCCTTAATTATATGCGTAGTATCCGTGTCAAATATGCTCACTGGCACTTCGGTTTTGTTTTGATGATTTCCACTGGGCACTCGAATTTTAGGTAATAGAATTCTTACAAACACGACATATGTTGCGAAAATAATGTAATCACACTCCAACACTTAGCAAAAAGCACTTACCATAAAAAAAGCATTGTTTAGTTACGTTTTACACTAGTGTATTTCGTGATATTAGTTGCTATTGCAGCAATCAGTGATAACAATAATTATATAAAATTGTTTTATTTAGAAACAGAACTACCCTGGAGTATGTTGCAATAATGAAATATCTTCAACACACTCTCGTATTCACGACGACACTCGCAAAATAACTCTGCCGGTGCTTCCGTCGAGGTCACTATACACAATGCGCAGAAGACGAACGAGGCTTTCATTCAGAACGGGCAACTTATAACAAGGACTCAGCGAATATACATTTTTAAGTTAAGTTGCATAGTCTGAATAAATCTTAATAATCTCTTATTCTTGAACTTTTCAAATTCTGGAAATTTTGAATGCAATGGTTATCAATGGATTGTATAGGTAGGGAGAGAAATTAATGTTTTTGTTCAGCAGAGGTCATCACACTAAGAATGAATCGATCCCCGACATACCCCCTTCCCATCAATTCGTACCCTATTTGATTACTTCGCGTTCCCGGGCACGACAACTGCTAAGAAGTTAATCCAGTATTACGTGTAGGGCATTTTTTTTCTTCGGGAGGAGGCGGTGATCTGGTGATCTTTCCTCGCTGGTGAAGCTGGCCTACATGTCGGCTAGCGCGGTTTTCCCTAACCACACATCTTCTCGTATTATTTGTATCTTTCGCAATTTATAGATTTAGTTTTAAGGAACAAGAAAATCATAGTTCTGTATTATGCAATGTAATATTGTAGAATTTATGTGTGGCAGGGCCGTCACACAGATTTCAGCATTATACACGTTTCACATTGAGCAAGTTTCACTGTGGTAAGAATTAGTTGACTTCTCGAGTTATATTCAGGTAAATATGGAATCAGTTTGAAACTCGCAGGGTCTCGATTTTGGCCATATTGGTTGAAAATATCAGTTTTGGAGAAAATCATTTAACCGATTTAGGTGCCTTTGACAAACAAATACAGACAAAAAATTAACCGTTTTGACATCAATTTTTCAGTATCAAGGACCTAAAAAATGTGGATTCTGACAACACTTCTTAGAGAAAATAATTTACTACATAAAAGTATAAGATTTATCCACATTTTCAATACTAGGGTCCCACAATATAAGTTTTCCTGTTGAAGCATTGCTGATATTTTCCACAGCGTTACAATACATTTTCCTCAACTGCTACATAAGCACTACCAAGCCACATAGTATGTAGTATGGCAAGAGAGTTAAAAGAAACAATTGTTTTATTGGTTATATTGGATTTTAATCTATACCAACTTAGCATTTTTGGGATAATGTTTTAGTAGGCCAATTACATGAAACCACCAACAATTTACCATAAACTCTCACTGTATTAAAATGACATTACTATATATCATTTACCATGAACCTATTCTTCAGCAGTAATGTATGTTGTGTACTTTAATATTATGCAATAAATTCTCGTAATTACATTACTATTATAATGTATTACTATCATTATAATTACATTACTATTTTCCAATCCATTTCGAACAAAATTTTTAGGATTAAAGGAAAAAATTAGAAATGAAAGAGATTAATTCCCTATATAATACTGTATTTATACACAAATTGCACTATAGGTTATATAAGCATTTTAAAAATACAATAATATTGATATATTGAATTTTAACCAAATGCTAACAGAACCCAGTTCAAATACATTAATAAAACTATAAACATTAATTAAAATAATATAGTATCTCTGTACCACCTTGCATTAAGACTACATAACAGTATCAGGATTAATTTGGAATATTTTTTTCATAAAAAAAGATGAAAAATCAGTTCTTGCAAATGTAAAGTATTGTACCCACTCGTTAGAGTGAGGAATAAATGTAGTCCTTGTTTACAAGGCATAATATGATAGTTAAAATAATGCAAATATGATATTATTCAATCAAATTATATTTATAACTCCACAAAATTAAGACTGAATAAGAATAATTACTTGCCCAAAACAAGGTTTAACAAATTTTCATTCTCAAACATGATTATTAAAAATAAAACAAAAATTATTATTTAGCAGATAAAATGACAGTATTTTGAAATTATTGAAATTAATTGAAAATTGTTTCACAAAAATGACCAAGTTAAAATTTGATTAATTTGTTTATTAATTGGTTTTTCCATAGGAGTACGGTTTTCAGAGAAATATGTACATATATAACATATTTTTATGTACAGGTTTTAAGTCAAACTGCAAATTTTAAGAAGAAAGAATCATTGCACAGAATGGTGTTGGTGTACAACAATCATACAAGCATTCAGTTATTCTACAAAACCGCAAAACAAAAACTGCAAATATTTGGGATGTTTTGATTATGAATACATTAATGAACACTGTATCCTAAGAAATACAACAAAATGTAATAAATTGTTGTCATAACTTACAAAAACAATAAAGAAATTACACATGATATATTTTATACCACTTGCACAAATTTAAGAAAAATCTATATACCATCAATGTAATAAAGATTATTCAATGCTATATATTCAAAATAAAAATGAGATATAAGAAAGATAACAAATTTCTATAAGTGAACATAGCTGATGAGATTTTTGTTCTCAACTACAAAAGATTAATTACAGAAATGCCTTAATAACATAACATTACTAATTGAGATTAGGAAAACTTTTTTGGCAATGAAATATATTCTCAAAATTCAAATTAAATATAAATGCATTTTTTTCATTCAGCCCACCACTGATCTTTAATCATAAATAGTTTGTTTTACAGATCAGTGACAACAATCAAAACTGTCATTAAAAATGACTGGTACAATAAAAACTCTTTGGTTTTGTTCAAAATTTCTTTTTCATTTTTCTATTTTCAGATCTTGAAATTTTATTATTTAAAGTAACTTAAGGAGGACAGGAAAAAAGGACACCAAGGAAAATTCTTTCTTCATAAACTGTTGCATGGTATAATGGATGATTACGAAGATTATTTCTGAGACAGACAAATTTCACCCACTGGCAAAGTTCACGTAAAGCTCTTCTTTGAATATTGTTTCAGTTCTTTTTATATTCAATTCGTTCCACCTTCACTTCATCACCTACTAGTTGATACACATAAGTAACAACTGTTGAGCTCTGAATATCCATTAAAACAAATGATGGGATGATATTCCTACAAATGTAAACAACATGACTTTAATTATTGAAACTCATTCATTATGAAAATATGTTGATAAAATACACTCAAATATTTATTATCATTAACATGCCTTTGTATCTTTTATATTTCCTACATTACACACACTCTCTTCCATTTCCAAATATTTAAATATTTCTATATTTCAAGAACTATTTCAACTATTGCAATTAGAACATATGTCTAATGAAAATAAAAACATGATAGATATGTGAACGGTGTATAGGCTTTTCCAATGAAATCACATATAATAGTAAGATAAAATCTGAACTATTCATCACCTTGATAAATTGTCAACCATCGTTATATAATAATAATAATAATAATAATAATAATAATAATAATAATAATAATTTTTTAAAAATTACTCATCAGGAATTGTTGCATAATGCCTAACACTTTTGCTGGACCAGTAGCTGACTTATAGTGGTTGTATTTCATCTCCCACAATGGGATTAGGGGAATAAGAATTGTAAAAGCACCTCATGAGCATACAATAAGACTTACTTCTAAAGTTGATTTAGATGATTTACAAAATGTGTTCAAAAAATTCACTTTCTTGTATACTTACATTGTTAAGAGATTTTTTCCAACAAAAAATTTCACAATCAACCTCGCTGAATTTGAAAAGAATCTTAATTCCGAAGGGCACTTTATATGAAAAAAGACTTCAAAATTTTATCAAACACTGACCCACAGTTTTTCTTCAAATTTTTATTTGAATAAACTACAGAATGCACAAAAAATGTGGCACATTCCTCATTTTTCATTTAGTACTTGGAATTTTTGAATAGATAAAACATGTCCCTAATTTTAATTTTTTTGTAGATGATTCTAAGAATTGCTGCAATACTCTTTCAGTTTATCCAAACTTATAGAACTTAACAGTACTACAGAGTGAAGATGCTTTTTGAGAATAGAGCATCACAGAAAAAATGTATGGCAAAAGGATAATTCCATGTAATATCAAAAGGGCAGATTTCTAGATCTAATTAAGCTGCCAAACTAGAACTAATCTACTTGAAATTAAACTACTTGAAACAGCTAAAGTATTGCAAAGAGGCCAGATGGTTTTATTACACACTAGTAGGTATGAGATTCTTCAGACACTGTGCGGCTATGTGCTTAATGAGTGGTAAATACACTGATAAATCAAATCTTCATTCAAACAACAAAAGAACATTCACAGACAAGCAGCCATAATATAACAAGAAAATTAAATGAAAGCAATAACAAACTACTGACCTGACAATGCAAATTTGTCCCAGTGTGACATAAAATAAGATAAGCAAACTATCTACTCAGTTCAAATTATTACATGTTATTGAAATAATGTTTTATGTAAATGTGGCCAAAGTAGTTCCAAGAACTTACTAATGTATTGAAAATGTCAGTAATATGAGGCCAAATTAATTCTAAAATCAACTGAATAAAAGTTGTGAAGCTGTCATATCAAGGTTCTTCTTCATAACGTTTGGTTTGTACAGATAAATTAATACGGGTGTGACCAGTGAAGAAGGAATATTGTTAAAATTCAACATAACAAAGATTTCAAATCATCTAGAATTTATTGAAATTCAGAATTTTTATTTCAACATCACAGACTAAAAGCCTCTTTGATGAGTCTGGAAGGATGAAACACTTAATTTCCCTGCTGCAACCTTGCATGAAGAACAGTGCCATCTGGTGCCATCATACTCATACCTTGTGCAGTTGGTAGTTTGGCATGTGATTAAGTGTTTAGAGATACAAGGTCATTAGTCCTATAAGTGCAGTGCATGCTTTTGCTCGAGAGGTGGTAGTGATCTTTCACCCGCTGTATGGCTGCATCCGGCACTGTATCTCTCCCCAGCCAGGACACGTTCTAACCTCTTGACCGGTCTCCTGACGTATGGTAAGTGTGTGTAAGAGATGAGGTTAGGACAAGGAAAAAGAAGGTGATATCACGGCAGACCGTGGGCCTTTTGTTAGGATACTGCTCTGGCATTTGCCTGGTAGTGATAAGAGGAATCACGGAAAACTACCAATCAGAGCAGCCAGCTGCTAGAATTCTGCTCCAGATAGCGACTAAATTCGACCTAGCTAACAAGCCAGTGACAAAAATCCTGCCACAGTCAGGCCTCGAATCTAGAACCTCCCGGTCACAGGGACATCAGTTGATGCCCTGAACCATCTCTCCTGATTTTGGCACTTGACAAAGTTCCTTTAAACAAGAAACAGGGAAGTAAATAGTTTTATCCTTTAGGGCTCATCAGTCAAGTCTTGATGCCGTAAGAACGAAGGGCTCAGTATGTTCACATACTGGAAGCAACAGAAATGCGCTTACAAAACTTAAACAGCATGTTGCCACGGTACTACACTGAGCTGGCTACCACGCTACTCACTGGAAGAGGCTACCATGAGCTAGATCACTACTGAACAATCATGAAGCAGGTTTCATGCATTGTAAATTTATTGTAACATCTGTATTAATGTATTACTCCTGTAGTATTTGTCTTATCAATCATTCAGTTGTACCATTTTGCTTTTTTTTTTCTTTAAAATTTTATAATTAACTCTTCCTAATCTTCAAAAGCACTTGAGAAATAAATCTTTCTCTGGTTTTCCATTCAGCATTAATTTGTTTTATTGAAAAGACTGCCTCCTCAGTAATTAATGTAAAATCTAGAAAAGTATGATCTTACGTGTCCAAGGGATTGTAGGCCCCAGTAGCTGAACCTGGATTGATGTAGAATTTGTTCTCATGCTCATAAGCTTCAAATTTGTGTGTGTGGCCCGAAATCAGGATGTCCACATCCAGTTGGCGCTGGATCAGTGCCAAAGACTCCGGGTCCCCCCAAGGCACAACTTGGTGTCCATGGGAGAGACCAATGCGGAATTGGCCAACTGTCACCACCTTCTGTTCTGGATAGTTCAGATTCTGCAACACAATAAATATTATGTAATCATTTCTATGCAAATTACTTTTTGATATCCTTTAGTCAATATATACAAACAAAACCAAATGAACTTTGATAGAGATCATCATGTGAAACGATGGTCAGTAATACCTACAATACAATGTGTCATCTTTTAGAACAGATTTTCTCCCATTTAGAACAACCTCTTTTTAATGATAACAGGTTGTACTAAGTGTAAAATGATGAGACATATATTGCAGTTTTATTAAAGATTCAACCAACATTAGCAAAAGTGGCATTTAAAATTTGTGTTGTGCATGTTGGCATGGCAATGAGCAAGTTGATAGGTGAGAATGTGGTAATACGTGGCCCAAACTTAAACTTCAACATTTTTGAAAACTATATAAAAAATATTACCTTTCTTAACAGTTCAGAAAGTGAATAAAAAATCAATAATTCATAATAAATCATGCGAATATTTTTTCTGGTGAGACCGTAGAATATACTTTCTTTGACAAGCATAATACTCCACATACTCTTTCTCTACCTCATCAATGTAGATTTTCTTTCTAATTTAGTTAAAGCTGCTTCTTTGGAAGATTTGTTAACATGAATCTGCCTAAGCAAATTCAAACTGTAATTAAAGTCAAATACGTACCTTTCAAAGTTTTCAGAATTGAGAAAACATGAACACTGAACACCTCTGTTACACATCATCTGTCATTCACAATTGAACCACAGAGGTACGATGTCAAAAGGAATTCCTACATTACCTTTAAAATGGGTGCAATGTATCACCTGATATGAAGGGTGCTTGTATTATATACATAACTTGTATTACCACCTTTACCCCTATAAACATGACCATATACCATAAGACCAGTGCTGGATTTAAAACATTGATCTGCTGGTAATGGCAGGCATGTTGGCAATGAATTGGTTCAAGTTGACATTGTCTTTACCAATATATTTATTTTCATTCAAACAATGTGTAGCTTTTGAGGTTTCAGCTTCATTATAAGATCTGGTACAAAGCACCTTCAGTTGCGGAGAACATCATTTTCTCTCCAAACCTTGACATTTTATTTTTTTTTATTTTATGATTAGACTCTCACTCTATAACACTGTTATTGTGGTATTAAATGATAATGTCAATTTCTTCCTTTCTCAATTGCATGAAATTTACATGATTAATAACACCGGTTTGTAATATTTTATTTGTTTCTTTATGCAATTTTCACGCTGATTTCAAATCTGCAAATGATATTTCTGGATCCATCTGCGCTAGTTTTTTTCTCTGTGAGTCAATATATGTTTGTGAATACCCTCAAAAGAACTGTGTCAATTTGTCTTGTTTATAAGAATGAGCTATTGATCATTATAAGTCACCCAAAATTAGTTTTTGTGACTCACTCTATTATCAAGAAGACACAATTTAAAACATCTAATGATAAAATCTGTAACCAATTAGTTTGCCTTACTTCATCAAAGTCTCCCCGAACAACATGCACATCACTTGCAAGAGTCTTCAGGTAATCATAGGATTCCTTAGTACACAAATTCCCTGTGCACAGAATGTGCTGTATTCTTCCAGGTACAAGGAGCTTCTTGAATTTTGCAGGAAGACTGCTGCAGCGATGAGGAATATGCAAATCTCCAAGCACCAACACCAACTAAAATAAAAAAGATCTTGTGTCAAACATCAAATAAGGTTATGTTTTACTGTACCAGTCCTGCATGATGCACTCACCATCGTTTTATCTTAATAATGACACTAACAGAAAAAAGAGAGGATTAAGTAATAACAACCTATAGTCATAACTCTATATACATGTGGGCGAAAAAAATTCACCCCGTATTAACACAATTTGACAGACAACAGCATACAGCCCGATCACAAGACTATCGGAATCTTGGACGCTATGGGCAACCCAATAAAACTAAATATTTCTTTACTGTAGGGAACCAGAGAGTATTATACGTATAGTATAGTGTACTCACTACGCAAACAGTATTCACCACATTTTTATTAAGATAAAAATATAGAAAAATAAATCAATATTAATACTGCACGAAATACGTTCTTGATAAAAACAAGTTCGAAAGCTTCAAAATTGGAATGTTTTTACGTTCACTGTTGGTAGCACAAGAGTTTATTTCCCTATATTACCAACATGCCGCGTGAAAATGTAACAGATGAGCACAGATGAGTTTCGGATGCGACACAGTGTAAGAGTGACTTTTGTCATTATTTTAATGTTAATTAAAAGTATAATCGTTTTTTAAAATGTTGTACTAATTATTATTTATCGATATATTTGTCTATACGTATGTTATTAAAAGTTTATAATGGTAAATACTTTCAATGACGATCACATATTTGAAAATCGCATTTCCTCAAACGCTTTTACTCCTTACTTTTTCATGCACGCATTGCTCGTCGTAGGATGTAAATTACATCCACAGATTTCAATTAGTCTATAGCTATATCACTATAGTATCTTAGTTACATCACTATACCCGCATTCCAACCTGGTCTTTCGCGCGCTTAGATTTGAATTTGCGGTTTAAGAGATCGTCAATTGTTATCGACCTTCCACTGTTTACACTACGACAAAGCCGGACAAAGCGCGAAAAATATTCGTACGATGTAACCGACGACAGAAGAAATTGTATTGGGTAGGTTGGGTAATATCTTATCCAGTTAAACTATAGTTCTTTATATGCGGATTGTGCCAAATGGCCTCAACGAAGACCTATCATCCTCGAGAAATACAGGAATAATTTTTTTCTACATCTTTAAACAGCGGACGTACATTGATTTTTTTTAAATAAACGCTTGTCTTCATTTGTAATATGTATATTTTTTCTTTTACTTTCTCACACTTACTAACGTAAGAAAAAGTACAGTAATCATGCGCCGGAAAACGACGAAATTTGACACAAAAACTTATTGTTAAGCCCCGTTAAGGAAAAAGTCGATAAAATCAGTTACTAAATAAAGAAAATAATTTCTCTAACACACGGTGTAGCCAGAACCATGTTTTGGCCATCGTTCATACTGAAAAATCGATTGATGGCAAAACTTTCGCCTGTGCGCAACGCTAGCGCATAAACCGTTCAACCAATATTCTCCAAAATTGATATTCCCCAATCATTCAGGCTGGTCACGCATTTTCAAAATTTAAAAAATGGTCCCATCGTTTTTTATTAAAGATTGACATTTGATAACGATAGAGATTTTTGCCTCAGATAATGTATGTTGCGAAAAAATAGCTCTTTAAAAAAGTATGTATAATTTTAATAAATGTATTATTTTTTGTAAAAGTTACTAGTTTTCGCGTAATTGCTGTTTGAAATTAATGAAGCGGGCGTCCCGTCGTACATAATAGCATTGTAATACTAGAGAAAGTATGTGCTGTTGTAGTACCAATAGTTACATATTGCAAATATTTAAAAACTCTGTAAAAGTTCTCTCAATTTTGCCTACTGCAAACAAGGCAATGCTACCTTAGTTAAACGGTAGTTCTGATTTCGTGAGGATGTGATAATTAGAGAATGGTTGTTTCTAGTTTGCTACCAAATCTCTTCTATGTCGGTTCTGAATTATTTCTATTTCCCCCTATATAGAATACAGTAAGGAAATTTGACGATTTTGAACCGTATATGAGAAACCAATGATACAAAACTCCAAGTGCACTACTGGAGGGGAACTACCCCTGGGTCCTGATCATTTACAAACTGGTGAAGCTGCAACAGCACGCACTTTCTCGCATTGTTTCGATTACGTAATTGTTATACTACTCTTCAACCATGGTGATAGAGTCTCTATCTGATAAGAGAGTCTATCACCATGGTTGAAGAGTAGTATAACAATTACGTGTGTGTATACACACACACGTAATATATATTGTATGTATGTATGTATTGTATGTATGTATTGTGTGTATGTATGTATTGTGTGTATGTATGTATTGTATGTATGTATTGTATATATACTGTATATATTGATGTTTAAAAGAACAAAACAAAAAAGTTTTTTGATGGATTTAAATCAATTTACCCGGAGTACTTCATACAAGTGAAAAAAAACAACATATTATATAGCTTCTTATATTAGTTTAAATTTTTTAAAACCACATTATGCCTATGAATATAGATTTTAAATATCCTTGAGATTCTCTGTAATGTGATCAAGTTGTTTCAAGAATTTTTCAGGCAATTATATCTGATTTTCACCCTTACAATAAAAAAAAAAGAAGGAAAAAAATATTTAAAAAATCATTTCTTTCTTTGTTTTTTAAGAATATCATTTTCTGATACAGATCATAAAAAGCACTAAATACAAATTTGTAGCCCTGTAAATTTTCTTTAGTTTCCCAAAACTACAACCTTATATCTTAAAATTTGCAACCGACCGCTCAATGTAAGTAAAACAGTATTTTTATAATTTCTTATTTATTTTCTTAAAATTAGGTTTTGTTTTATTCATTTTCGCATTTTTTCTGTGTAATTTTTAATAGGAAAGATAAAAAATGAAAAACAAAATTGTGAGAATGTTATTGTAATTTGAATGATGAATGAATTATGATTTTAACAAATAAAAACAGCATCTTCCAGAAGGATTGTTTTCCGCTTCATAGCTTATTGTTTCTAAATCAATTAGGTAAGCAATTCATTTAGGTTTAATAAGTCTTAATTTCATGAAATAAATTCATTGGTTGTTATTGACTGACGAATTCGAATTTGTGAAAGGATATTTATATTATTTAAGAAACTAACACAACTTGTGCTTGCTGTACAATTTTATATTGGGGGCCCCGCTAAAAGTTTTGCAGGTGGGCCTGACTCATTTCGTTACATTACTGGGTGTAACAATAACTTAACGTCATCGTCAACTACAGAAAAGTCCAAGTATAAAGTCCCCGAGTCCTTCCAACAGTGAAAATATCCCTTTCAAATGCACAGGGCCTTCAGTTCAGCTAGACTGATCGAGGAATATCAATTTTGAATGAGTGGTTATGCACTAGTGTTGTCCACAAACGGACATAAAGATGTTTTTTCCGAAAACACTTTTTTAGTAGAAACGGCCCAGAAAACATGGATGTCTATACAACGTACTTGAGGAAGTAATTTACCACATACGGGATAAAAGAATTACCCACTATTATGGTACCAGGGGCGAGAATACCGGTTTTGTCAAAGAATCACCTCATTTTGCTAATGCATTACACTTTGTCTTAACTATGTAAGTATGTGCTGAAGCAAAAAGAAAAAGTTCACACATGATGTAGAATGAAAAGCCGGCATATGTGGAACCTGCTATACATGTTATACTGCAACTCACTTTACCATTGTGCATAACTGGGAATCAATGAGATCCCACAGGGACCATGACTTACATATCTTATATTCTGACTTACACAATCAGACCTTTTTAGAAGTATTAGCACAAGTTTTTAAAAACCTGTACTCCCTTGTATTTTCAGAACCATTCAAGTTGAGTCATGAAGCTATTTTCACTTTTCAAATGTTGATGATTAATAGAGTGTGGAATGTTTGCTTGGGTCCACCTAGTTTATATTTATTTAAAATATTTAAGTAAATTAACTGATTCATCATTAACAAATCTTAATTTTTTATTTATTTTTGACTAGGAGAATGAAATATTTAGCAGCACATGTAGTATAAAATCTCTTCTTTCATTGTGATTACATATAACTTCATCATTATACATTTAACTTTTATTCTCTGATATATGATTTTCTTAGAGGAAGTAAATAAAAAGCAAAGAACAATTATTTTGTTCCCTTGTACAGATCCTCTAAGCTTGAGAGCTATTGTAAAATGGTTTTGATCTTTGGAAACTATTTCATTCCCTGTTCAGAGAAATATTTTGCAAGAAAAAGAAAAATATTTATTATACAAGGATATAAAAGCAAATGGCACAACAACAGCATATACATTTTCATATTATTTTCTTGTTTGAACAGATATGTAATATTGCAACTTCTACCCTACTAATTCTGCGTCCGTCTTGTGAAACATGTTCTTCGGAAAAAGGAAGTAGTTAAGATTTGAATTTACAATTTTGGAGATTCCAGAATTTTTATTGAAAATTGTATTTATGCCATAATATTAAGCAAAATTTGAATTATTTAAGGAGCAAATTTCCATAGACATCAAAGGAGTTGTTTTCGAAAAAATCTTCTTTACATATTACTTTTAAATTGTCAAGATTTTACTCAAAATTAAGTGAAAACTACTCATATTTTGATAAAATTTTATGACTTTATTTAAAATTCTAATTTTGCAAAACATTTTGCACTGTACAAAAATATATCTTCCATAATACAGTAGTAGGATGGGGTGCAAACGTTTTCAACTTTCAAAATTGGTCATTAATTTTTGTAAGTGTACTTCACTCCATCCAAATAAAACATTTAATGAGCAATATCTAGAGACATTTTTAGAGAATATTTTGAAATTGTCCTAAGAGCTCCATGTTAAAAACTTTCCAAATAAAATGATATGTATCAAATTCAAGGAGTCACATCTCCACCCAGACCAATTGGGAAATACCTGTTTAGATCAAAATCATGTGTGTGGTTTTACATGCTGGTTTTTCACAGACATGTTATGAATAAAACCGCCACTTTTCTGTAGCAGGGACTCAAAACATATTTCTATCACACTCTTGACATTGATTTTTTTTTGCTGTATAATACAACTCTTTCTGTACTACAGACATGAAAAAATAAAACATATTACACTTTTTAACAACTTAAGTAGGTAACAAATATTTTTGTAAGATAGGAGCACCCACAAAGGCAATAAGGAACCAAGTCACTTCTACCAAGGGTAGATAAGAAGATCAAACACTCCCAAGTACTAATGATATCAGCAAACACAGTTCTTACTTTCAAGATGATGGAGAGGATTTTAGAAAATATTTTAAAAGGTTTTTGTACTAAATTTATTCCAATTATTATGAAAGACAAATAATTTCCAACAAATGGTCTGACACAATTCTATGCACAGCAAAGGAACATTAATAATACTAACTAGTAATTAGTTGCATTATAATTCAGCAACTGTTTTGGGCCACACGTCTTATATACCAAGATGTTTCTTTATGAGGACGGTTTATTTTCTTATACACTTTCCAACAAGAATTTCCTTGGTAACTTTTACTTCTCCAACATAATTTCAATTGCACTTGCGGAAAGATCAAATGAATGTTTAATGTATTAAGAAATAAATAAATTAAACATACTTGTCTTCATATGTTCTTTTCTAATGAATCAATTTTAATGGAAGAAATTTCTTTTTCAGAAAATGAGAGTTTGTTCTATGAGAATACATCAGTTATTTTACATGGATGTATGTGTTACCAAAATGCACTACTTATTTTAAATATGTCAGCTACTCATTTGAGCTTTTCATGAGCAAGCATAGATCATGTTATACAAAATATAAATTTAAAGCTGCATGAGGAAACAAGGTTATTTTGCTTGGTTTCATTTTACACCCCTACCTCATCAAAAGTACTACAAGCAGCTACTTCTCTTTTTATTCCAGAAAAGCAACTGCACATTTACCAACATTGAACAATGCTTTTGGGCGAGTTAATATCTAATTACCCAATATGTACAGTAAAGGAAGATTATTGTTCACTCTGTGGTAATTTACTTAAGTCTTTACCACATAGACATTCACACTCAATACATTTCACCTTTTTGAAAACATATCTACCAAGTTTTATTCACAATATGTACAAGACAAAGTTAATTGATTTCTCACATTATGTGACAGTAAGTCAGTTATTCAACAGTAAGTGTCTCCTTTGCTACAATTTATGATAATATTTCGATTCTCTCTCAAAATTTTTACAAGCAAGTGATTAGTCACAAGGAAAGATTCTTGGACTTAAGTAGCTGAGATCATACACAACAGTTGTGATAACCTATAGAATATTCACTTAACACATTTTATTTGAAATTAATATTTGGCCTGCTTATTATTAAAAAAATATAACAATACTCCTAGATTGTTAAACCCCTTTATTAAATTATTATCACTAATATTAATTATTACTTCCTTCTTTCATGTATAAAATGGCTGAAATTAAGTTTCAAATGAGAAACAGAAATTGTTTTGTAAATAAATAATAGACTGACAAGTAATGCTATAATAATTCATATTCAAAAATATACATTTTTGTATTCACCAACTGTCATGATATGTACAAACATCACTAACATATCTATGACATGGAAGAATATATATATATTATATTATATATTCCTTCATGTCTATAATGTCACTGTTATTAATAAGCAAAATTCATTGGAAGAAAAAGGTGTTGAAATGCTTAATAATTTCATGAAGGAAAATATCATGGAATGATCTAGAAAATAATTTATTCCAGAGACAATTTTCTTTAAAGGAAATGTCTAGTCAGTACTAGCTCCTCATGAATTCTAATAGGTGACATATAATTTACATTTCAACTAAAGATAAGTTTCTCTATACAAATTATTTGCCAAATGTATATTACAATTTTTGTAACTTATAAAAACTTACAGTAAGGAGACTATATTGAATTGAATTTTTTTAAACTTGAATAATATTTCATTTGATACATCTCTTTAAAGACATTTACAAAAGGCTTTTTAATTTTACACACAAGTATTGAATGACATATTTTACAAAAATTAAAAGAAAAATAGAAATGAAAAAGTTTAAGAGAATTTACCAGTAAAAACATAAAATATCAAGTTACACATATCTTCTAGCTTACAAATTAGCAGGTACAGCATAACTTCTAAAAATTCTTCTAAAAATTTGAAAATACTCACAGCTATTTTTTTTTCTAACACTCAACTCAAACATTTGTGCTTCAGGAAACACATTTGTAGATTCCTTGGAATATATTTAAGAAGTACTTACAAATCACTACTCTTCATGAATCTCTTATTTTCACAAAAGGAATTCATTCCTAGAATGCACTAATTCTACTATTTAAATGTTTGTTACCAATATGTAGCTGCACCAGCTTCAAAATTTCTGTGCATTTACAAGACCTCTCTAAACAGATCTTTGTGATAGATAATGTTAATTCTTCTTCTTTTTCTCCAGTTTCACACTTTTACTCTGTTTAACAAAGGAGTCTTTTTAAAACATGAGATGAGTTGACTTTTGTGCAAAAAGGCTCAACAAATATAAAATTGAACGCATTAACTAATCAGAAGTATGCCTACATCACACAAACTGTCAACAGAATGTCGCTTTTCAGCCCAGTTCAGCAACATATGAATTATGTTGTTTTCCAAACAACTGGAGGCTTGCAATTGTTGATGCGATCCTTGACATTCATAAGACCTTCTGAAAATAGCAAAGATACATAACACAAATTGAGTCTTTCAGATTTAAGTTTTTTGGTAACATTAAAAAACAACAATATTACGGCATGCATAATGGTATTAATACAATGATTTTCAGAGCTCCAATGCAACTCTCAGATCCAAAGAAATGCTGGAAGGAACAAGCCAAAACTCTGACAATGAAGAACTAGACAACTCACTGAATATAGAAGAATTTGAAGCACTATTAAGAAAAGTAAAAAATAGAAAAAGTCCCGGATCAGTTGAGGTCAACATACGACTCATAAGATATGGAGGAAACGAGCTGAAAGAAATGTTATTAGAACTTTCTAACAAAGTGTGGAAAGAAAAAATAATCCCAATAGAGTGGCACGAGGGTTTGGTTATTAACATTCACAAGAAGGGATTAAAGAAGATATATGACAATTATAGGGCAAATATTTTATTGCTGTCAACAGGTACTAAGCTATAAGTAAAAATGCTAAGGAACAGACTCAATGAAACATGTGAGAACTTCATGGGAAAAGAGCAGAGTGGATTCTGAAAGGGTAGAAGCACTAAAGACGCCATCTTTACATTACAGGTGTTAATAGATAGAAGGGAAAGAATCTACCTACTTTTATAAAATTCATTGATTATGAAAAGGCTTATGACAAAATTAATAGACAGACTCTGGGAAATACTAGAAGAGAAGAAATTTCCAAATCAGTTACTTGATGCAACACAAAGTCTCTATAAGAACTCAAGTTCGAAAATACTGTTAAAATAGGGAAAACAGTTGGCGGCAATAATAACCAACAGTGGCTTAAGGCAAGGATGTGGACCCATCCTCTTCAACATATGTATTAACTACTTAGTATGAAACTGGAGAAGGAAAGTTAGATGATGAACACAGATCATAACAGACAAGAAGATAGATACAATATTGCATGCTGATGACCAAACTATCGCAATGGATTCTGAAGATAATTTACAAAGAGCAGTTTTTTATTTGATAAAAGTGGCCCAAGAATATTTCATGAAGATAGCAGTTCAGAAAACAAAAGTTATAGCAATACAAGGCAAGGAACAAAGGAGAGCCAAAACAGTATTAAATAGAAAATGAGTGGAACAAGTAAATAAATTTTCATACCTTGGAAACGTCATAAGTGACCACCAAACTCAGGAAGACCTAGAAAACAAACTTAATAAGCACAATAGAATATGTGAACAATCAAGAGGACACTTTGGCAGAGACAGGGACCCAGAAACAAAAAAAAACAAACTAACATCATAATATAACTGCTAAACTGAGAATCCTGTATGGCTGTGAAACATGAGTAATGAAAGAGAGAGACAAACAAAAACTGCAGGCAGCACACATGAGATTTCTCAGACACCTCATGGGAATCACAAGAAGAGACAGACTAAGAAATAAAGATGCTGGAAAGAAACTGAAAACCAAATGTTTAGTAGAAGAGATAGATCAGTCTCAAAGGAGGCGGAAAGATCATTTACACAGAATGAACAACTGATATCCAAAATGAATCTGGAAGTACAAACCAACAGGGAACACAGAATGAACAACTGATATCCAAAATGAATCTGGAAGTACAAACCAGTGATATAGGGATCAGAGATAGAGGGAGACCACTAAAGAGGTGGCAACAGCAGAAACATTTGGAAGACTAAGAATTTACCCAAAATACTGTAATTAAGCAAAAACAGAAAAAGGCTCTAGAGCCTAATTTCTAATCAGTTCATGATGATGATGATATTCAGAACTGCACTATAATCAAAAAAATTAACCTTTATACATAAACAAAACTCATAATTCTACTATGATTTCTAGAAAACAGACACACTATGAACAACACCACTAATTAATACTATTTACAATTCTTCTCAAAGCAAAAACAATGGAAAATTAAATTAAAAATTTGACATAAAAATAACTGTGAAAAGAAATCGGAATACATTGCAGTATGCAACACATAGTGTAGGTGAACAATCCAAATCCACCACAAATTTCATGTAAGCTCAGCATATCAAAAAAATCAAATTTGTAGATTTGAAATGTATATCTCACATTTCACACCAAAATGTAATCCCAATGTAAAGAACCACTGATATTTGTACTACAATGTAGAATAATAGAAACATATTATAATGAGAAGGACTAATTTTAAAATGATAAGAGATCAGGTGAATTTTTTAAGTTTTTTGGGTCTTCTACTTTATGTTTCAAATTGAAAATGTTTTAAAATTCTCACTTCACTTCAATGATGACATAAATAAGATTCCAATAAGGATCATAATGCTGGCTACAATCTAGTGCATGTAAAATTACTGTAATAAATAGATTTAAAAAAATATATAGTTATTCAGAATGAAACAGGGATTTAAAGCAAAAGAAACTTACCTGCTCTCAAATTGCAGTAGCTATCTCATTTTGCATCTGAATTTAGAAGATAGCCATAACACACACCAGATGAATCTGAAACCAAATATCAATTGGCATGGAACTTTCTTTGGCACTAAAAATTAATTTCATAAATTTTGATTAAAAAAAATAAATAAATAAATAAAAAAATCAGCATTGGCCTACAAACAAGGTTGTGGAGTATTACCATCCCTTTAACATAACATATTAATCACCTAGTGGGAAACTGGAGAAACTAATCAGGGAATACAAATCAAAGAGGACAAACAATCTTATTTACAGATGATTAAACAATCTTGACAGATTATAAAGTTGATTTACAAAGAGCAGTTTTTGAACTGACATATGGGTTCAAGAATACACCATAAATATAGCAGTTTAGAATACATAAGTTATGACTGTACAAGGTAAAGAACAAAGGTAAGCCAAAATTCTAACAAATGGAGAAAGAGTGAGGTAAGTAAATTCATTCTCTTATAAATATTCAATATAGCAGAACAGAATTTGTGGAACAATTATAAGAAACTTAGGTAGAGACAGGGACCTGAAACAAATCTGTCATTACAAAATACAATGGCTAAACCTATGGTCATGTATAGCTCTGAAATACGGATAATGAAAGAGAGGGACGAACAAAAATTACAGATGCACATTTAAGTAGGAGGTGAATTTTAATGAAATTTTTTTTTTTCTTTTCACTTTAGGAAAATGTCTGTTAGCATACACATTCATTTTACGTCATGACAAAACGAAATGGCCGGTTTTTAAATATAATTATTTTGCATTTTTCTTTGATTTTGACTAATAAATTCTTTTTTAACTTTTTCCATCATTTTTAAAGCATTTTCGTTGATTTCATTGACTTTAATATTATTTTAATGGTAGTTGTTTCAAATAATATTAACGAGATGCATCAAATGTTCTCCACAGAATTCTTGATTAGTCTACTCGATTCATTCGCTTAGAAATTGTAACGTCAGCTGTTGAGAAGAAGTAGTTTAAGTGTGATGTCTTTCAGTGCAATTGTTAATTTAGCCATTTCAGGATAACTAAAGACAGAGATTTCTGGGTAAAGAACAGTCCAAACCAAAAGCAGGCAAATTGAGTTTATTGGAACGCAAGGAAGAAGCCTCAATTACATCAGTAACATATCCAACAGCTTGAGTTGTTTATCCAAATTGGTTTTCATCACCTTCTTTAGATCATTTTCCTTTCCTTTTAGGACATTAAAAAAAAGTTATCATGTAATTGATCATTTTTGATAATGTTTTAGGTCATCAAAATCTGTCCCCATACACACAAATTCCCAAGATACTTCAGGGGAATCATATGAGGAGACAAAGAGAAATGAGATTAGAAAGAAACTGAAAACCAAAGGTATGGGAATGGAATTACATAATTAAAGGAAATGTAAAAATCATTTCAAAAGAATGAATAACAAACTACCAAACTGGTCTGGAAATCCAACTAGTAAGAAACAGATATTAGATGGAAACAAAAGAAATGGTAACAGTGACCAGTCCTAATAATATAAAGTACATAGCAGCTAGATAAAAGTCTAAATATGCCATAATATAGGGAAAAACATGTAAACAAAGATTATGAGTGAATTTCCTAAAAATTTACAGAATCATGCAAACATGCATGGACAAAGTGAACATTTTATAAGTGAGCATGTAATGAAACAAATATTTACAAAGCTTGAGAGTTGTAGCATGCTTACATAAAAATAATATGCATTAGCATTGATTTTTACAGGATTTCTAATGATTTGCATTAGCATTATCCTGTATCCATTTCTTGGATCTTTTTGAGAATAAATGACCTATCAGATATGCCCTAAAACACGCCTCTTTCTATCATAAGCAGGCACCAAATAAAAACCATGAATTGTCATGACCACAAACAATTACATCACCCAATATTTTAACATTCAAGACACTAGATTACGAGTTAAATAAGTTTTGCAATTCCACATGAAAAAGTCTTCCACACAAACTCACGTAAATATATAACGGCACATCCACTATAAGTAGTAATCTGGTGTCTGGTCTATGTCTTACTGCACTTGCAATCTTTCATGCATTCAGAAATTGAAGGGCTCAGAAGAACAAGGGTTTTACTAGATGTTTTATGAAATAGATTAGTACATTATAGATTTAAATCACATATTATTCTAAAAGAATGATATTTGAAGTTATATTTAATGCTAATAACTTAACTTGCCCAAAAAAGTTGGATAGCCCCTTTTTCTACTGAGCCTGTCAATTAGAAACATATTTGTCACCAGCTGTACAGTGTGGGAAATGTTAGTCTTTTGTTTTGCTACCATCTGGTTGCAGACCCAGGCAGTGGTTTTACAGCACTATATCTCTGCCTTCTGCAAGGTCACAAAAATGGGCAGAGCCTGGCTGGAGTAACAGCCTGATATTTTGTAACGAGTGCTAAGTGATCTCGGTGATAAGAGCTGAAGTAGCATACCAGCCAGGCATAGCACATAGTAAATAGTAGAGACAGTATTATGTGCAACATAAAAAGGCTGAAATATGCATGGAAAATGCTTAAAATAGAAGTAAAGT